TATATTATTTATTTTGATCTTTTGTAAAACTAAAAAAAATGTATGTCCGTATCATTTATTTGAATACAATTGGCTCATTGATTATTTTTGCCTTCAACGTATTTTTATTTATATAAAGGGATAATGAAATATTTATTTTCAAATTTAATTGTTTACATATATGTTTAAGAAAAATGAAGTACTTTGATTAATGGAAAAATCATTGGTGTGAACTCGCTTTGTCATTACACCTTCCATACAGTAAGACCTATCTATATGCTGAACTGTCATGGGTACTTTCAATGACATAGGACTGCCATATTTTTTTCTATATGGGGCCTGCTAGGGGGTCAGCCAAATTGTTGGGGGTTTGGTGGTGGCCATGCAAGATGTTTTGTGATAATCGAATGGTGCGCATAATAAACAATTAAACCAATAATAACAGCGGGGCGCGTCGTTTCGGCAGATATGCTTGAATCGTTTGAGCAAACAGTCCGGATCGGCAAAGAAAAAGCCTTTCACTCAAAACATTCTTCTCACATGCGATAGGAATTTTCCGTCACAAATTTGATCGGGATGAAAGTGTAGTGCCGCGACGAGGTTATACCAGAAATTGGGACAATGGGTTTTAAGATTTATCTACATTTCATCTTCTGACTATTATATTAAACAAGTACTGTATAGTTTTGCTATGCAATACCGATTCCTTCTGCGATACGAGTTGTCTTGGTGATTTTGTTGAATTCGTTGATCGCGAATGCGGTGCCCTACCCCGTTGCACTATTTTTGTCTGTACGTTTTATTTACACGTATTTCTCTTGTTGCGTGTTTTCTTCGCCAAATATTTTGGCTATCTTTATAGCAGTTACGTAATTTCCGACGTGAGTAATTCCGGCACCATGGCCGATGATGAATTAAATGAAACTCGATTGTTTTACACGTAGTGGCGTGTGGACATATATACCACGCAAAGTTAAAGGGAATTGATTTTTGACATTCTTTGCATAAGGGTAAAAGAAGTTCAAAGTGTGCTGGTAATTTACTAATAACATGATCGGAAAACGACTACTGCATGATTGTAAACACAATTAATGTTTAAACAGTGAAAGTGATCTTATTTAGATATGTCTATTGGAAATTATCTTCTTAAGGTAAATGACTAGTATACAATTATATGATACTCACTATTCATGTGTATGTGATTTTAAGTGTTGTTTAATGCTTATAAATGCAAAGATACATTAAAAAAAATTTTTAATAGTATTATTTTATTTATATGTGACATTTAATTTCATACAATTAATATTCTTTTAACTAAATATATTTATTTATAATTA